GTTTTTATTGTTGCACGATAATCGACTAAAGTGCTGCAATATAATGTCACCGGCGATAAAACGGTATCTAAACACTCGACGAGCTGTTTGTTGTTCTACTCTCGCAATAAAATGATCCCGGCGGCGCTTTCGCGTTTCTAATTGGACCAGCGTTTTCCAAAACGTTTTTTTAAAAAAAAATTTGCACATCTTTGCTTTCGAGATTACGAACGTACTCGTCTCGAGATTTCGGGATTCTTGCACACCCCCAGAGAAAACTGATTCAAACCACGATCGGAAAATACGGTTTTCGAAGTGGTGGATCGTATCGAATAAAACGGGCAACGCTAGATAAGGAAATGGACGGGGAACAGGTACGAAACGAGTGCGAGAGAGGCTGTGGGACCGACAGAGCGCGAGAAAGAGGGCAGAAAGAGTAGCAGGAGATGATACTGGACACTGCTAGATCCATATAAAGAAGAAGAACGAACCACTTAGATCTCTCTTTGCCGATGGTCCACGACTACCGGATACCTTCAGCTTTCTGTTCAGCGCAGAATGCTCCAGCTAAATGCACTCCACGATATTCGCTGCTTTTCGATCGATAATCACTCGACTAACAAAAATTTCACACGCCAGATGGATTCTTTGCATTTGTCTACTTTTCGAGACAATAATAATAGAAGGAAAATTTAATATTTCGATAGAAAAAGATGATTAATTAATCTACGTTTAATACCACACTATTTTGATTTGTCAAAGACGTATTATTGCTATTCTATTATTATCTAATCCAGACTCTGAGTCCCAACGAAACTACTGTATGGAGTAATCGACAGGGTAAAAAGAGAACTTTTTGTAGATTTATTAATTCAATCGCGGAATAATTAACAACGCCGTCGTGTTGCGAAACGTATTTTTCAAGAACGGGTCTTTTTCTAGAGAAATGAAACAAAAAGAAGTTCCTGCTGTTTGTTTAGACGAGGCATTGACGTCACCAGAGATTCGGGATCGACAGCGAAGGAACTAGCCGGTTCATTAGGAATTAACGCCACGTCTCCACGAGTCGACCTTGTTCTACGTACTCTCGACGAAGGCTCGAGATACGCTTCACAATCGAAACTACAAAAACATTGCGCAATTACGCGACAAACATCATTTAATAAGACAATAACACAATACCATAATAGCAAATGTGAACCGGTGAAGCCTCTTTACGAAGCGCTTCGACGCTAGATCCACCGAGGGGGGTCAAAATAAATTGTTTCGTCATTTCCTATAACGATTATCCAAGAAAATATCAAGTCGGTTACTAGAGGCGCGTAAATTACTTTTTTCAAACTGTAAAGATCAACTTTGTTTTTTTAAACAAAATAAAATTCGTTTTCCGTTTGAAAATCCAAATAATAACTGCAAATATATTGTAAAACATATCGCGATTAAAAAATTCTTTGGAAACGCTGCCCCACCCACGAGGTTAATTATAATCCCGCTACGCGTCAACGTTCGAGTCTCCTATCTCATCGTACCGTTGAAAATTAAGCCCGTGTTGATACAACGCTCTCTTTGCGCGGGATTAACTCTAATTGGCGAAGCATTTCCTACCGGAACAACCTATTACAGAAGCAGTGCTACTGATTTTCGAAGACCCTCGAGCACGCGTTGCATAACCGATTATGCGCCTCTTTGTAGCATGGGTGACCATCTAGAATTTAATCTCAGTTATTAAATAGACCGTAATTTTTGTGTAATTTTTATTGTGTCAAAATACGACGTGTTTCTAAATATTTATTGTCGCTGTTGGAATGTATGTAAATGTAATAGTCTCGATCTATGCGCCATCTGTAAAGGGGAGAGGTGTGTGAGTAAGGAGGTCGTGCTGGAAAGAATATGCGTGGGAAATCATAGTATTGTAATTATGTTTGTTTATCTCTTGCAATAGATATATTAGTTGAATGGGAAAGTGAGAAATCTTATTTATCAACCACATCCCGGAAAATCCTAATAGTCGCTTTAGGAAAATAGTCGATAACAACGTCCAACCGAATATCTCGCCTCGCCTCGAATACGAATCGTCTCCGTTTTCGAAAACGAAACCTATTTAGACTCGATCCGCGCTGCTTAAGGGGAACACCTGATGGCGAACGAGTTGAATATTTATTGGCTGTCCGATTTCATTACTCACGCTGGCACGCCCGACTCGATTGCTCATACGATCGGATCATCTCGATAACCGTGGGACTTGAACGAGATCTCTTGGATTCTGGTGGTCCAAACGCTATCGATGATCAGTTCTACGAAAACAATGCGTACCCCCGTAAGTCGCTGGATTGGTAACGCAACGTATCCCCCATTTTCCCCAGAGTTGGAAAAACTGTATTCGCGAACGCGTAAAACTTTTCATCGGAGATGTTTTCGTGGCTCTTTCGAACGTGTATGCGTACAGATATCAACGTATCGTTCCCCGTATCGCGAAACGACATTCATACCCGCGTCTCGTGGCTGCAAAAATTTCACCGCGACGAGCAGTATGCGCGCACCACGGTATTATCATTCATCGCGGTGAGCGTGTTTACATATTCGCGGTGCGACGAACGCGTAATTCACAGCCCGAGCTTTGTATTCCCGCCGACAAACAACGCTGCGATGAACCGCGCGCCTCCAACGATCGTCTTTCCGAACTCCCGAATAACCGATACGATTCCACGCCCGGATTAGTGAAACGGATTCATCCCCACCGCCGTTCGCTTTGCTCGTAATTCTGGTCTTATTTATTTATAATCGCGCTCCCCGTAATACCCATCGTTAATGATCGGGGAAAATCAATTAACCGTTCTCTCGGCCGGCTAATTTCCTCGTTTTTTCTATTCGCTCTTTTTTTCGGCGTTCCTCCATTAAATTGATTACCAGACAGTTAAATTCGATACCTCATTCGTCTGGTAACCCGATCGTTATTAAAGGTAAGTATTACGCTACGTAATCTAGAAGCAACTGTAATTAATCCCCGGCTATGTAACCGCATTTCCTCTCGAAACATTTTTGCTTAAATTGTTCAGCGTCGTGCGTATGTTTTGTAAGAATAAATCACGACGTATCCGACGGGACTATTCGAATACCGATACACCCTATCGACTCGACCCTTAAACAATTAATGAAACATATTTCTATTCCATTCCTCTTGCACGAAGTAAAACAGCATTTGAACACACCTGATATAAATTTATTGGACAATTTTCACAGGTCTGAAGCACGAGTTACTTATTTATTCTATTTTACGTGCAACTTGAAGATTGAAAAAATTCGAAAAGGGAAAAGAAAACAGATATATAGTAAAAAATAATGAAGGAAAAAGTGCGATGGGGCGTAACGAAACAAAAGACTGTTCGAAGTACCGTCGCGCGGTAGCTTCGTGGCAGAAACGCGACTACAATACACATCCATTAACTCGTTCTAACATCTGGGTCAGTACGAGGTGTTTAAGAACCGGTACGTTACTTCCTGCCTCGTCGTAACATCCACGAACGGTCATATATTTCACTCTTTTGCCATCGAACGTTTCGCGAAACGAACGTACGTTAACTTTCATCGAGAAAAATTTTATGTAATTCTTTTTTTTTATACTTATCAAATAATAAGTAAAAATTTGATTCTCTGACCATATAAACGTCAAGAATAAATTTCTGTAAGTTGGTGTCATTGGTTATCTATTGTTCAAATAAAATTGTGCCCATCTCTGGGTTTGAATAGAAATTACGGTCGCTGAGGAGCTGGTTTTTCCACCAATAAATGCACCCGTACATTTTATTTCCTTCATTTATAATTTTCACACGGGAACGACGGACACCGTAACTGTAAACCGGTACCTTTAAAATTTAGGAACCCTAAGCATTGTTTTGCTATCAATACTTTCTATTTGAAATTAAATTTAATTCGAAGCAGTTTGGAAGCTGCATGTATCGTAAAAGTACAGAGTTCTTTGGACTACAGAGGGTGCGTAAAAATATTGACGGAATGTGGAGGACAAAAGAAGGTGGGGCTTCGTTAACGTTAATAGCCCTATTGTATAATTCATTATGACTATAAATACGAACTTTTATTCGGATTGTGTAATTAGTCTACGAGTTATCGCCTAATAAATAAGTCAATCGGGTGGAACACGTAAAGCATAGAGAAAATTGTAGGACAACGGTCCCGTGCACAAAAGCAATGTTGCAATGGCAGCCTTTCACAAATGAGGCTTTCAAACGTTACCTACCCTTCCTATAGACTGGACATACTTCCATGTAATTATCATTTATTTTTAAACATGAAACAAGACTCTATTTGGAAGAAATTAAAACATAAATTTTTGGTATTTTACAATCTAACTTTGGTACAAGACTCCGCAAGCACACCGATAAAGTTAATTGCCCTCAAATTAGTTGGAATTATTATAAAATCGCTTATCATTGATAAAACTGTTGTCCGTCGGCAAAGTGATTGGCAATCGATGCTTAAGAAGACCTAAATAATTCTGTGTACTTTCGAATAATTCTCTAGAAACCCTTAAAACCGTTTTATTCGCGAGGAGCAATGTATAAATCATAACGCTATTAATTTAGTTTCCGTTTTTGAAGATCCGAAACGACTGCGCGGTGGCGCGCTACACCGATTCAAAGCAGACGATCGGGAGTTCGATTCCCGCCTTTTTCACGAGGCTCTCGTTACGTAAAAGCGCCACACGGCTCGCGGCGAAGCCCGGTAATTTCGAGCGTTCTCTAACCTTTAAAGGAAAAGAAACTGCTCGCATTCTGACGAAATCCGCGACGCGAAGCGCGACCGTAGACGCCCGTGCAACGGTCGTCGACGTGTCCGGGGGGCCTCGACATCGGCACAGCCGCGATTCGATCGTGATAAACGATCGAGGGAGGTAGGAGGGAATGGGGAGGGGGCATTGACGTGTGCAAAAACGTAAAGAGAATAAGAAAGAAAGAAAGAAACAAAATCAGCGAACGCATAAGAGTCGAACAATGGCGGCTTACCGGCGGCACGATGAGGCCTCCTGGCCCAGTCGTCTTCGATCAAGGGCGCGACCCTGCGCGCACGCAATGTCGAAGGGTGAGAAACGACGATAAGCAGGATCGACAAGAGCAGACCGCCGTGGTAACGCATCTCGGCAGCTTTTCTTCGTTCTATCGCGCTTCGTCTTTTCTTGTTTCGTCTCTCTTTCTCGTTCGCTCGTATCTCCTATTTCGCTTTCTCGTCCCTGGCCGGTCGCGCGCGCCGCTCTAACGCATATAGCGCGGTTTCTCTCTCGTCTCTCTTCCACCTTCTGTTTACTATCTCGCTTGTATTTTCTATTTCTATCTCTTTTTCTCTCTCCCTGTCGTCGGAGCCGCGGCACTAGGTCTATTAACGACCGTTCACTGCACAAAACTTTCTGCACTGTACGGGCACTGTTAAGGTCTCACCATCACCATAAATTCTTCTTCCCCTGACCCCTTAGGGGCGGGCCGGTACGCGACGAGAGAAACGATTGTCCGAACAACCGACGACGACGACGACGACGGCGGCTACGGCTGCGGCTGCGACGGTCGCCGCGTAGTCCACGACGACGTCGAGCACGGCGATACGTACGCGGATTGCAAATGTGTACGATAATGATTAGAAACGATCAGCGGGGCCGGTACAGCCCGTTGCGGCTGGTCGCAATATTTACCGCAGATAACGCGACGTGTATCGTGCACCGTTCGAGACACGTTCAACGAGCGCATCCGACGGCTTAACGGGCCTAAGGTACAACGCAGGATCGTTTATTCTTTCCTTCTACGTTCTTCTCCCAGCTTCTCGATCTGCCTATTTATCGCTCCCTCTTTCTCTCTTTTCCCGAGTGCACAGTTCGTACCGGGGATTGGCCCTGTACCCCGCTCCCTACTTCGCCCTAACCTCTCGTCCGTCGCGCGTTCCGTGTTACTGCGCGCGCGTTTTATAAGGCGGTACACAACCAGCGACGACGAGGGGGACACGAAAGTGCGAGGCGAGCCGCGGCGTGGTTGGCGCTTCTCCGTCTTCCTCCCTCTGTCTCCGTTTCAACCGTCGTCTTTCGCGCAACGCCCCCTCCCGCTCTCTTTGCCAACGATCTGTACGTATGTCGTCTCTTTCTCGCGGTGGGACACGCCGGTGTGCGTCTGACACGGCCGACGCGTGGTTAAGGTTAAACCGTGACTCCGCGCGTATCCACGAATTCGACGCAACTAGTCGCGAGAGGCAGCGGCGTTGACCGAGGTTATGCGCTAAAGTTCAACAAGCTCTTCGGCTCGTATCGAGATCGATCATCGACGATACAGAGTTTCGACGTACATCGAAGCCTCGCATCGCGCCTGCGTGGCGATTTTCTCGCGCCGCGATGTGCGTGTAACTGCGCGCGTGCACGGTCCCGACTTCTCAACTTCTTGGTCGCGAATTAATACGATCGGCGTTCGGGTTTGGCACTGCGATCCTTTCTCACCGTTCGCTTCGCTCCTCACCGGCCTCTTTCCACGCAAAGCAACAGGCCAGTGCGCGTCTGACACGGTCGGCGCGTGACTGCCGTGACTGACTAGCCGATCGCGAGCAACTGACTGGTGGGAAGCTGTTGCTCGACTCGCTCTCTACGCCCGTGCCGCCACTGAATCCGATGTATCCGATCATCGGCACCCGTCTCCGGACTGGCTCGCTCGAAAAAGCCTCTGGGCTTTGGCGCTTGCGCCACGACGGATCGCTTTTTCGCTTTCGATGCAAGCGCGCTCGCGGTCGCGCGCGCACGAGCTGTCGCGACCGCTGTTGTATACACACGAAATACGAGACAGGACAGCGTCTTTTGCCCGCGGGTGAGCGTCGCTCTGTCTGGCGTTCTTCGTTCGTCTCCTCTTCTCTTATAATAGTTTTCGAGCGCGTGCCGGTGACGGGTCAGAGGAAATCAAAGCCGATCGAGCGCGAGAACACAGGCTAAGATCGATTTCACGGTCTTCTACTTCGAACCGCGCGAAACTCGTCGGTGTATCGGTTCGCGATCTATAACGGTCAATTTCGGCGACGATCGATCTCTGATAATCGCGTAGCGTTATCTGTCGATTCTTATCTGTTTCGCGTTTTTCTCGCCCGTTCTCGAGACACGGTTTCGCTCGATCGCAGGAACCGCGATTCGAACAACTTTTTTGACAAATTCTATCTCTCGTTATTCACTGATCGACTACGTGCGCATGCATCGATCGAACGCGATCGCGTGACATTTCGCGTCTCCTCGTTGTATCTGCGACCGAGTGGACGGTTACCGATCGACTGTCCCTCGAAATGCGCTTAAGCACGAGAAGAGAGAGAGAGCAACACGTTGTGCGCCGATGTTAGCCAACGATGACAACTGTTCGCAGGCCGGTCGAGTCCGTCGCTTTTATGGGGATAGCCGACCACGCTGCCACGGCGGGACCCGTGCCTCGTATCTACGTGTTGCGCTCGCGCGCGTGCGTTTACGTGCTCGATGTACCGCGTTATCGTGCAAGTGCGCGTTCGCGGTCACGCGCGCTCGCACACAACCGCGCCTCTTCCTATATACCTACGCGAACACGACGGGATCGGATCCGCGTACGGTCCAAGTTACTTAACGTCGAGCGTCGCGACGCGCGCCGGTAACCTCTTAGCGTACGTGCGAAACGAAAGAAACCGATCAGAAAACAAGGGGTTAACCGAGAGGGAACTCGTGTCGGTCCGTTGCGCCGATACCTCGATCGCGGTGGGTGTCGCGAATGACTGTGCCGTTCCAAGAGGTGTGCGAGACCGCGCCGCGCGTGTGGGTGATTCCCCCACCACCCGTTCACCAACACTATCGCGGTTCCCACCACCGTTGTACCGGCTGCCGGCACCACCACCACCTCCACCACCTCCACCACCGTTCAACCGCGTTACCGTCCACCACTGCTTGTGAGCAGCGAATACACCGGTATCGGAGAGCGGCGAGCACGAAACGTAACTTCTTGTTAGCTCTTCGTCGTCTCACCCACACCTTCCTCTCGTCCTCGCCGATTATTATCGGTTATTTTATAGACCGGTGCCGACGAAACTTCCGACTTTTTATGAACGCCGAACCGTCGTACAATACTTCGGATCTTCAAAAACTAAATTAATAGTGTTATTATTTATATATTGTTCAAGGAATAAGACACTACCCTTACGGTCTACTTATCGTAGTATCGTACGTATAGGGAAAGGAATGGCAAGACACACGTAAAATTTAAATAAAAAGTGCGGAAGTTGATCTTTATTAAAAAATTGACTCGTACTTAGTTTTTATTTTGTGGATCGTTCATTGAAAAATTTCACAAAATAAATATTCCGCGCACATGCACGCATTAGGAAATGCTGATGCAACCAGATCGAAGCGAAGAAGCGCAGAAACGATCGGGGCGGCTGTTTACGAAAGTAGCGCGAGCGACAAAGAGGAATTCCCGGATACAAACGGCCAGGCGATAAGCGACCACGGGAATACATCAATGAGCCAAGCTGGCCACCGTGAATGGAGGCGCGATTGCGGTGGGTTTTCATTCCGCTCGTTGATTCGCGACACGCGTCGAAATGACGTAGGACGATTAAATGCGTTCGACGCGCGTACGATGCAAATCCGCGGTACGCGACTCGCATACGCGGCGCACGGTTTGCTATATCGCGCGTTAATCTATGTGTTTGTAGATCGATGCGCGTTACGAATCGGCTTCCGAATTCGCTCGAAAGGTATCGCCCGTTAAAGAATTTTACGATCACCGTCGATCCCAATTCCCCTCGCGGATCGTTCCCGAATCCATAAGCAGAATCCGAGAGGACACTCTTCGAACGAATACCATTCTGTTTTTTACCCTAACCTTTCCTTTACACGCGGTTCGAGCACCGAAGATCGACCAAAGCAGAACGCGAGAAACCACGGGTCGAATGTAGGGCTGGGACTTCTTATCGAATATCCGAATATAATGGTCGAAATTTCTATAAGCAATACCACGATTCTATACCAAAAGCTAACCTCAAAATGGATTAAAAATTTATGATAAATGAGTATGCTCGGTAGTCATAAACATTTGTATCGTAACAAGCACTGTACGTGTCAAATATTCCGATACATAGTACGAGAGTCACGACTCTGGCAAAAAGTGAAGGAAAAAAGCGAAAAAGAGGTTTCTCCTCGGCCGTGTCCCGCTACGTTTTGTGTTCCTTCGCCCGGGACTGGCAGCGAACAAACTCGTTACGAAATCGTCCCTAAGACGGGGTGACTAATTGCTAAGCGGCTTGTAAAAATTCACAGGACAGTCTGTCGACATCGTGGCGCGGTCGTCTGATCGTCGCGCCGTTATACTTTTTGCCTGTGCATGGTCGACTAGAGACGAAACAGGGAGAACGAGCCAGCGCGATGGAACGTGACGGGAGCGGAACAGAGACCGAACTAGCGGTCGGTGGGTGGCGGCGGGACGGGGCGGGGAGGGGGAGGGGGAAGACGAGTGTGAAGTGGGGGAGAAAGGGAAGCAGCGTGTGCGTGTGAGGCCTTAAGGTGAGAAAAGAAAAATGGCGAAGAGCGACCGAGGTTTCTGCGTCCGTCCGCGTTCGAAGGCGAGAAGGGGACAACGCTTTCGCAGATTCCACGTGAGATACCTGCGGCATTCTTCGTTCTGCACCGGGCATTAAGCCGGATGCACATTCGTCGTGGACGACGCTCGGTGAATTCATTTCCAAGAAAAATATCTTCCGCCTCGAAACGAATTTTACGGCAGATTTTGTTCGTCGCCGCGGCCCCCAGGCTCCAGGCTGGACAGCACACACACACACACACACGTACGCACAATAGGGATGATCTCTCTCTTTCTCTTTTTATTTGTTGGACACGAGACCGCCGCCACGGACACCAGCGCCCAAGCAATAAAACTTCTAATCCCAAGATGAACCGCGCGTGATTCTTCTCGCGACGTTTACGCGTCGCCGGCGCGCACGAAATTGGGGCTAATCTTCACTCGCGTGATTCTCTCGCGTCTTATTGGCTCTATTCGATTCTTGTCTAATATAGACGTATTATTATGAATAAATAAAACAGATTAAGTTCGTAAGCGTTACGAGAATTCTGTGCCGTCAGAGGAGAACGACCGATTTTGCAAATAATTATGGATGATGATTCACTGGGAACCGTGTCATTGTCAACGAGCCTGTCCGATCATTGCGTCACGTGTACGCGAATTAATTTCGCAACGTTACCGTGGTAAGCTCCATATTTTTTGGTAGTCCGCGTCCGATGACCAGGCGTTCGCAGTGTTCGTCCCCGATTCGATCCTCGAAATAGAGCAGCAAAGGTGCAACAGATGTTACAAAGATTTACATTCGGGATGCCTGCGCCTTTAAACGTTTGATGTCTGAAGATCCTTCCGCGCCATCCGACACGAACTACCAAAAACCGTTCCGCGTATACTGTTCGTTACGATTTACGTACTTCGATTCTCCGTCCCGCTGGTTCCGCTGTCGACCGCGGTGGCGCAGGCGAGGATCATTTGCGCGGGACCACACGCACAATGAAACAAGACGAGACTCAATTACTTCGAGGAATCATCGGGACGCCCTTTGTGCCGCGCACTGCTTTTACGATCGAATTCTGACGCTGCATCTTGCGTTTTCGCAGCTACGGTTGACTGGCGCGGAGAGAGAGAGAGAAAAGAAAAGGAACCAGTGACGGATTATAACACCAGGGGGCCTCTAAACCACGAGCAAATACAGGGTTTTCCATTCGCGACGATAGAACTTCGATCCTCGAGTTAAGTGGATCTTGTAGAATCGAATGCACACAAGTCCGAGGAATGTTAACCTCTTAAAAAATTTCATGGATTGGGTCTGGCGGTCAAAGCGTTGGAAAAAAATATTATGGGCCTCGAGTCGAGAACGGATCAGTGTGGTTATGAATTTTGTCCCGAACGCCCATATACTCGTCACGCTGAGCGTCAGGCGTGAAAAGGATCATCCGGCCCGAGGACCATTCACCGGGGCACGGCTATGACAAATGTAATAGATTCTTGGCGACTCGGGGGCCCCTCGGTATAAGGGGGGGAAAAAAGCATCGCAGGAAGGGAGAAGGATGGGTGTTCCTATTGAATGGTAGACGAACGGATGTAACGCCTTCGTTGGACCCTTCGCTGTCCCTTCTAACAATGATATCCCAGCTCGCCGCGGCAAAGGAGAGCCGAGAAATAAAGTCAAGCCCCGAGTTGCTCGCCCTATAACGCAGATACGCTCGCACAATGCTTATTGTCGTCCCCCAGGAATGCGGGGAGCTCGGTATTGTCGGCGCACGCCAAATGTATATCCCCCTTTTGCCTGCCACCACCGTTCAACACTGAGGCGTTCTACGTACGTACGTTCCTTCTTCCACGCACACCCAGGCGCCATCATTCTCTTATTCGTCCGCATATTAACGTCGATTCTCCTCCTCGACGTCCCTGCCTTACAATTCGATACATCGCGAGACGTTTATATCTCGGGTTCTATGCCGCCAAGGCTCTACGATCGCTCTCGAGGCTCGTTCTTTTCCCTATTGTCCTTCCCCGTTGCAGAGATTCTTAACACGGCCATGCACACGCGAACCTCCCATTGAAAACTAACATTCATTGGTCACAATTAGAGATGGGATCAAGCGTCTTGGAAGCAGGCTCGAATTTTACGAAAAGGGAAGTTCCCCTAACGGTGAACGGCAGATGATAAAGCAACTTTCCCGAACAAGAATGTATTTAGAATACCGAGGAATTATTTGTCGACAAATATTTTCGTATTATTTCGAATCTGGTTTATTAAATCGAAACTGTAGGTATTCAAGCGCCGTTTAAATTCTTATGGGATTTCATCCAACTTTCAGCGCGGTTCTACGTTGATCGATCGCAAGAATCGAAATTAATCTTCCATTAATTCTTTTCCACTTTCACTAAAGGCTCGGTGGAAGGCCAGATTTTATTGGACGATGGCTGGAGTTGTATAAAATGCCATTTACATTCAGCGTGTTTTATGTATGTACTATGAAGTAACCACGCACGCTCGTATCGAATACTTGGGCAAGATTAGTCGAGTTATGAAAGTTGCCGATTTCCACGTTCCGACTAATTCCGATTTTGAGATTTTCAAACGACCTCCGCATTAAAAAAATACAAATACCAGATATATTGAAAGTCTCTTCATATCAAATCTAATACCCTCAACAATTCTAATCTCGTAACGAGAGATAGGAATACGTCGAGCAAAATGGAACGCGCGAGTCAGACCAAGGATACAGTTATACTACTGAACTAATAGTACACGTCAGACTATCCTAAACGTCTTCACGCTCTTATTATTAACACATTGCTCAACTGCAACTTATCCACATTTTCTTTAACGTCCCCTTTTTATAATACCAAGAGTGTCTAGGGTTAATAATAGCCGACGAAATAAAGTTAAAAGCTGCAATGGGGCGTGTAGGCCGCGTGCCACGCGGAAATCTTGATTGCAGAGTTCGATTTAATTGCGGTCTTAAAATATGACTCTCTAGCGACATACGGAACAAGATCGATATATCCTTGGCCGAAGTCGGGCTGGCCTTTGGTTTAAATTAACACGCCGGGTTCCGGCTTGTCGTTCGAATTCAAAAACACGCGGCGGCGGCGGCCGCGCTCGTGCGCGACACATTATTTTGTCGTTCCGATAGTCGACGGTAGGGGTCGATAAACTAGGTCCTGGGGGCCTGAAAGGGCCCTATCATCTATTATTGCTCACATTGGCGGATTTAGAAGAAAAAAATTGGAAATTTAGATAATTCGATGGGGTCAATCTTCCGGAGCTATATTTGATATTTTCTGACCTGTTCTTTCGGGGTTGCACAAAAGAGCAACGGACGTGACGGGGGGTCCACCGGGATGATTAATTTCGTCCGCCAATTAACAAGTCCCACCGGGCCAGTGCGCGTGCCGCGGTGAAAAGGCCCGGGTTCGTGAAAGCGGGACGATAGAACGAATATCACCCCTCGGGACTTAATTTCGTCGGTCAGAGCCGTCTGAATGGGCCCCGAAACGAGGCCAGGCCACCCTATCTTTTTCGCGCCTCGAGGGACCGGCGTGACCAGCAGTCCAGGGCATTGTGGGCCCAGTGCCTAGTCGCACAATGGATGCGAAATCTCTTCCCTGGGGTCTCTGGCTGCACAGGGCCCGGGAGGAACGGTTTACGCGGCACTATTAATCTCCGAGACAATGGAGAGGGTTCTACGAAAAACTGAGGCGGGCCAGCGTCTGGCCCCGAACGAATAAAGTTACTACGGGCGATGGTAGTTTCACCTGGCTGTACCCCCGCGACACGGATAATCCCGCGGTCGGGCACGGAAGCACGTTCGATCGCGCGAAACACCGGACAACCATAAGCTCCCGGTCCGTCGGTCGTTCCGTACGATTTAAGACGTTATTACAGTGTAATAGACGGTATTTGCCAATGTTTTTTTAGCGTTTGTTTATAAAACATTTAGCAGTGAAATCTCTCTTATTGTTAGACCCTATATATATATGTATATGTTACAGTTAAAGTGTGAATTGCAATGTGTACGGTTACACAGTCCCTACAGACTTCTGTTTACAAGACAATCATCTGTAACCACGAACCGAACAAGTACAATACTATTTCTTACTATACATTCAATATGTACAATATATTACAATATGTCAATATGTAATATGTCAATATTACAATATGTACAATTCGACTTACGCTGAACGCTCAAGAACGAATAAAGATGTGGAGTTACTTGTAATATTGTCCAAACGCATTGTTCGGCTGGTTGAACTTTAAGAAAATGTCACGGAAACGGAAGAATCGACGTCTGTTGACCCGAGGAACGAGAATAACACCGTGATTCCCAAAGGTTAGGCCCTTTCCCTGCGGTCGGATCCGATTTCAAAATTTTGCGCAACTGGCGCCTGTCCAAGGCGCCGGGAAACTTATTGCAGAGAAACGAACGCAGCCGCTCGATCGAAACAGAAACATGGTACCCGACTATACGTATAGTGTTTGATCACCGTTCCTCGTAGCGCCTCGTTCGTATTTCTCTATGTATATCCAACTACATACCATCGATACATCATTCAGGTGGCGCGACCAACGGAATGCCAGACTTGACGCGCTTGATGTTCGCTACAGCTTCTCTTTTTCCTTCCACCTAACGTTATTAAACGAGAGTTGCACGTTGTGCAAAGAGCATACCCGCGTCACAGGCCGTGCAACGCCGTTGTATTTTGTCGGGAGTCGCGGCTTGATTTAGATAGAGACGTTCCAAGAAGATTCCAAAGTGTTGTATCTCGCGAAATCTATTCTCGTTAAGTTCGATGTCGTTAAAAAATCAACGAGCAAGCTGCGAACGTTCGACCCGGGCAGTGTATGCATTATCGACGATGGTATAAATAACATTTTCCTGGATAGAAATTATTTTCCATTCGGCCACGGGTATCTGGACCGTTAATTCGTCGAGCGACAGTTACGACGTTGTCTGACAATGGAACAACCGACATAGGAGCCTGGACACGCTCGAATCCGATTAAATATGTCTCCCGCGTAAAGCCAGCCGACCATTAACCCTGTCGATCTCATTTCACGCGCTGTCACGAACCTTATCTCGAAACGACGATAGAACAACAAACGCGTCGAGCTAGGAGTAGGCCGCTCGTTTACATTCGATTTAGCCGGCCGTACTATGTAGCCGACGGTGCCCACAACGATCGCCGTTCCGAGCACGAGATAACGATTATTATTGCTCGTCGTCGATCTATTCGTGGCCCCACGAGCCGTTAATTAAACCGGATCGAGGGCGACGCCGTGTACGACGCGTTTCACGGATTTCTCCGCGGCTACTCGGCGCGCTCGATTCGCGTCGTTTCCGAGGACTTCGCGATAAATCCCGTCACCGGACGTTCTCTGACGTCCGGGAAAAAAATAATGTTCTTTCCGCGACCGGGTCTCGTCCCTGGCAGAGGTGTGCGAATAACGTTGAATCTGTACAGAAAGAAACATCCAAGAGAAAACACGACCTTACGATCAAACAAACATCTAAATTCTAACCTAAATTCTGTTACGCTTAAAGGTATTCATGATACGGGTATAATTTAATTTATCTGTACCTGGCACTTTCAGAGATAACAAGGCGATGTCCCAACATTCCAGCTAGCGTCTAAAGAAGTCAATACATAGTAAAAATTAATAAATATTCGCTCAATACGTAAGATAATCAACTGTATTTCGGTACAAGTCCGTGGTTAATCTATAATTCATGTAAATTTATCAAAAGTATTACAGTGTAATATCTGAATTAATACTTTCCATTCAACATAACCTCATTTTCCCTACCTTATTTACATCGCGACCGTTCGCGAACTGTCCCAACGACCGATAATCACCGATACGCTACCGCGATTTCGTTTTCCACGCGCTTCGAACGGCACGGGGAATATACATAAAATCGAGCGAAGAAAAATTCGGCGGCCGATAGCGTTATTTTATTTACGACGTCGAGACAAATTCATTTCGATAAGCAACGGAATAAAAACACAGCCGTCGAGCCGCGGCCGGCAATGAGGTCAATTAATTACGGGCGCCGCCGTCGAGAAGGAAAAATTCAAATGAACGTACGGACCTGACCAACGTTGCTCCTTTTTTTTTTTTTTTTTTCTTCTTCCGCGTTAAACACCAGTTTCTGTCGTCGTCGCGTTAAATAATGACCGACACGGTCGCGGGGAATTCGAGTGGCTCGCGTTCCCCGCAACCGATACGAACTTCCCAGCCGCTCGACAAATTTCCACGCGCGCTAAAAGGTTATGTACGGCGTCTCGTGTGACAGGTCCGCGTACAAAAACGATTTCTCGACGCCGGTATTACGTCGCCGTGCGAGCAATAAAGACGAGAACGGTTTCTCGATACGGTGTTACGTTGACAATCGGTAATAAAGATGAGAATCGACGCAATTTGGCACACCGTAATCGCGTATCGTCGTCGCAGCGAACCCGTTAATAACCGTTAATTAACTCGCACCATTGACGCGCACGATTCTGCGCCGTTGCAACGCGACTCGATTACGGGGCATTCAATACGCATAACCCTCCGGGGTTTCGCAACGATAACGTTTCGTTGAAAATCGACGGTTAATAACGACCGATTTACGTCTCGACGAGAATAACCAAGGACGGCACGGCGCCGAAAGCACGAACTTGCAGCCATAACCTCGTTCTAGGCACGCGAGAAATTTTGGCGCACCTATCGGGCATTACCATACCGTATGTATATTGGTTCTCCACAGGGGTCGCTGCTGTGGAATCTGTGCAACGCGGCCGGACGTTACGGATTTGACGATATCCGCTCTGCATTAATAATTTTCTCGGTTAATGGTCTGGATTGTGATCGTTTGACGGTTAGAGCATGCACAACCGACCCAAATGCATACATTACTCGCGGTGAACTGTCTCTATCTTTTATGAAACATGTACACCACGGAATAGTACCTTTCCTTAATTACAGGATCAAAACGATAATCTCGTTCGTTGTTGTTTTCAGTACAATGGAACACCGTTTATACGAACAAGCTTTAAATATACACATTTGTTGTAGTTTTAACTATACGTTTTTAGAAACATTAGGACTTACCTGTAACAAAAATGTTTCCAATTAACTGCGTGCGAACGTGTCCGATCAGAGACATTTTTTCCAGGGGTTGTGCATACATTTTGTACACGTTCGTCGAGTGGAGAGGAGCTGGTGTCGGTTCGTGTTGCCCCACATCCGAGTTTTGCAAATCTAGTCACATCAAATCTGTGTCATGTCGCGTAAACATACTATAATAATAATATACTATAAATACGCTGCAACAAGAGAGGCAGAACAAAGATCGAGAGACAGAGACGCGTGCAGGCGCCGGCGCCGTCGGACGGGCACATTACACGCGCCAAGGAAGTATTATCCGTCCCACGTAAGTATTCAACGTGTACGCGTACCCTTCCCTCTTTTTTCCCCCCGCTCTTTCCACCGCCATCGTACCGTCTCTATCCCTCCGCCTACGTTTTCCACTCGCTCGACTCGTTCGATTCACTTCGCGCCTAAGCGTTCGCTCTGTCCTCGTCTTTCCCGTCCCGACGCTTTTTTTCATCGCCCCCTTCCTGTTTCCAGGCTTCACCGTCTGCGGCCCACTCACAGCACTCACCCCGTCTCACCCCTCCCTCGATGTTCAATGGTTTGCTTTGGGGCGATTTTAATGCTTGATTCTCACTGGCGCTTCGAGTCCCACCTTTGAAACGGTTCGAGGTTTTTAAGGTTATGATCGTTCGAATCGCTTCGAATATGATTCAAAGCTTAGAACTTGTAAAAGTCTTGATAGATTTGGGAATGTCAAGAGTTTCGATAGCAAGTTACAATGTTCTGCCTGCTTTGTTTCTATAACCGTTTCATCGTTTCTCGTGCATTACTTTTTCTATTGTTTCATCGTCTCTTGCCCGTGTGCTGTCCGGCTAGTCGTCTGTCCAACTCTGGACCGTACCTCGAATGCCAGTAGGAACGAAGCTTAACTCTCACCGTGTTCCTCCGCGCGAAACTGACCGGATCACGGGCGCCGTCCGTTGTAACTGGCTCGGTTGAACGACCAACCAGCTCGATCTCATCTTTCCGTTCCTCCGCCCTTCTTATTTGTCCCGCGACCAGGCTAGGGCGACGCTCGTTAGACGTGAAATCGATCTTAATTTCGCGCGAAACCGAGCCTCGCTGTGTCCGACTGTCAGTGTACGCCGCGTTCGATTTAGAGGCTCGCCGGTGAGGTTAGTTTTTCAGAGGGGTTGCTCCGACGAGTTTTAGTAAGCAGACGCGATATTTATGACAACCCAGTCCCCCCGACACGAACCGAAAGACCCAATTACCGTCGCTACTATTTCACTTAAAATACCAAATAAATCCTAAAATTTTATACACGAAACAATGTAAAATTTGACAACACTATGATTACCAACCGGTATAATTATCGTTAAATTCTTAAGTAGGTCTTAAGTAGGATTTATATTCATAAGAAACCACGCAGAAGTGGACTCGGTTATCGGTGATTTTACGTACATTAGAAAATCTCTCAGCAAGAAACGAGAGTTTCTAAATCGAGAAAAAGAAAACGGTTTAATGCTTATTGCCGATTACCGAATCGCGACTGACTTATCCCGCGTATCTTAGACGGGAAAGCGTATTATTATAGTAAGATATTACGACCCCTAAAGAAAGGAAGACGAAAATAGAAACGTATCTTGGTTAAACCTGGTTTTAAGGCTCTGTGGGTCGTATGTTAATTGTTCAAAAATAATCCCGGAAACGAGCAACCCCTGTCTTCGTATGTTTCGCAACGAGTCTAAAATTTATTAACAACGACGTGTTGCAACGGGACGCGATAACGCAGATGGAGAACGACTGTATAACGATGCGCCGAGACAAAGAATTTACAGCCAATTACGTGCTTCCGACAGCGTAGAAACGCTTGCATCAGGACACGATTAATTAACTGTTCGAGTGGAACGCCGGTGAAAGCCCCTGATCATAACAAGCTGACGTTTACGAGGGTCCGTCAGATCCTTTTTGTGCGCCGACATCGTTTCAGGACACGGTTCGCGTGAGCGATACCTAAGCGCGTCAGTTCGTGGGAGAGTACTGCCGGGAGAACGAAAGATCGTTCCTGAAAGGCGCTGCGTGTCGCGTCGGTCCAAAACGCAATGACGGATCCAAAATGGCGGACCGTAAACGCGAATTGTTTTGTAATCTCGTTCCTGTAGTCTACGTGTCTCGGCTATATGACTAAATATTATTATTATCACGTGCATTTTAAGCGTCTTTTCAACCGTTGGCTAATTAATATACGGCAATAGGCGCGGTTCGGGCATTATTAATGTCCCCGCGGACGGCTCCGTTCTAATTTGCTCCGGTCGCGCTCGATTTCTGCCGTTTTATCGGTTCTCGGCGGCTCCCCTCGATAAATAGAGACGCTTGACACGCATCCGGAAAAAACGCGAGATAACGTCAAGACCGTTCTGCGAGCCGAGAATAGAAATCGATATTAAAATTAACTGCAGTAGGCCGTGGCTGATTACGACATCAATGAATAATCTTGCCGGCTCGTCGCGGATGCTTTTCCATTTCCGTGAATCTTCGAAGGAAATTTAATTCGAAACACGAAACGCGATAAGATTGTGTGCCGTGCAAGATGCGTCGCACGACCAGAACGTGTTACAAGGCACCGAGTCGTTAATATGTAACGTAAATTAACGCGTATGTAAAAAAAAGACAATTAACGCGTTTCAAGTATTTTTCGAAACTGTTTATTTGAATCGGAATACCGAGATGGAAAGATTTCCGCCACGCGAGCCTCGTTCATGTTTATTAAGTTCGCGTTGTATGGAAACCGCGTTATAGGAGGTCTCGTGTGCACTGTAAGGCGCCTATTAAAACCTACTTCTACATTATCCTCGCATCCAACAGTCTCGGCGACTTCTCTGTCGCGACGCAGTACATAAATATGAAATGCACGTATGCAAATAAAGCGTTGTTAACGTATGTGCATAATCGGTCCAAGTACACACCCTGCGCATTGATACAGGCCTACGTGTTCGGAGCAGAAACATTCGCCCTTCTGCATCCACAAATATATATTCCTTTGGATCTATTAGTCCACGCCTGCGGCATTATGTGGACTCGCATACTCGCGTTCATACGTGCGTCTCGGATGGGATAGGATCATGATACGCGAACAGCAACTCGAAGACACCTCCAGCTTTTCAGTTGGACGTTCTACGTTAAATTTGGTCGATTTATTTAACACTAGATTGCCCAAGGAAGTCACTTTGATTGCTTCTTAATTTCAATTATAAAAACAATTATTTTCAATTTTGCCGAAAAATTTGCCCATCTTCTTGAATTTTTTTCTCGAAAATGGTTAGGAATTCGAGGGTGTGTCTATTTACCGAAAATGATCGTAATCGACCTCCGCGACCGAAAATAATTTTTTTAGAACGATATGAAACTTTTCAATTTTGCCGAATAATTTGCCCAATTTCTTGAATTTTTTTCTCAAAAATGGTTAGGATTTCAGGGGTATGTCTATTCACCAAAAATGATTATAATTAACCCACGCAACCGAAAATAATTTTTTTAGAATGATATGAAATTTTAATTTTCTCGAAAAACTTCACACATTCCCGAATTTTTTTCTCGAAAGTGGATAGGATTTCGGAGGTATGTGTATTCACCAAAAATGATTGCAATTGACCCCCGCAACCGAAAATAATTTTTTTAGAACGATATGAAACTTTTCATTTTTGACGAAATATTTGCCCACCTTCTTGAATTTTTTTCTCGAAAATGGTTAGGAATTCGAGGGTACGTCTATTTACCGAAAATGATCGTAATCGACCTCTGTGACCGAAAATAATTTTTCCAGAACGATTTGAAATTTTTTAATTTTGTCGAAAAACTTCACACCTTCCCGAATTTTTTTCTCGAAAGTGGATAGGATTTCGGAGGTATGTGTATTCACCGAAAATGATTGTAATTGACCCCCGCAACCGAAAATAATTTTTCCAGAACGATTTGAAATATTTGAATTTAATTGTTAATAACTTTTTAACGAGGCCTCGATCAACAAATTACTATTCTTTATTTTCGTCTTATTTTGGCCTCTAGAATCGCCCATTAAAATTTTTCCCCGATAGCTGAACATCCTGTACATCGTATCAAAGAATTCTATAGTGTTGGTTAGGATTGCAACATCGGAGAAAGATTATATTTTGGCGATCGAGCGCGCGTCAGGCATATTTTTCTTCGTAGGGCGCGCAAGTGCGGTCCCGACGTTCTTAATGTTCACACTTCGCGTCGCGGATAACGCGTAAGTCACTCGGTGCGTACGCGGGAAATTTACATAAACACGTGCACACCGGCTAAAACGCATTCGACATAAACCACGGGAAGGATCGACGCCGAGCAATAATAACGACCGGGGCCGTGTGGGACGAATAATGCCTCGGCGCTACGTGAACCTATACAGCCGAACGCGGTCGATGCATGGTTTTAGACACCGTTTCGCGGACGGTCGTAACTCACGACCGTTTCGTTATTGGGTATTCTCTTTCGGAATCGCGAATATTCTATTTATAAATCAACGCGGAGACTCTGCGGTCGCGATTCCGACGCGCACGGATCAGGATTTTACGAGGGCAACGTCTCGATTTTCTAGACAAATTTCTTTTTCACTCTCGAAATACTTTTATCACTTATACAGACACGTTACATCGAAATGGTGAAAAAGAAAATGTTACAAACGCCGTCGAATCTCCACGGAGAGTTTAACGACCGATTTTCTGGGTCGAACGTGAAAAAAGACGACACGTCGACCGTAGAACATTGGTGTCGATTGATTTAACGCGCCATGTTGATTCTAGAAACATAGTCCCCTTGGGCAAGGGATTACGATACGCTCCAATTGGCCCACCCACACGCCACACATGGCCACGGATTACCATTACGCCACCGAGTTGCAAGCTACCAGGTTGCAAGCCCGTAGGTACTCAGACTGGTCGTTACAAATCATTTCTGCACCTTTGCCGTATCTACTGCGACCGTTGACGCGCGCAGCCTAACTCCCACGACGCGCATTAGCTCTTTACTCGCGATATTAGGCTACCACCGGCCGAGACAGGTGAAAGGCGAATAAATCATCCCGTTTCCGAAGAGAACGCGCGACGATGGTTCCGTTGGGAAGCAAATGACCAACGACGGCGCGCCATTTTATTTATTCTAGGTTTCGCGTACAAGGTTGCTGTGTCGTCCTCTACAGGATACATCCATTAAACCCATCGGTGCAGCGGATGCAATCAATTTTCTAACGGCGTACACGTTCGGGAACTTTTTGCCGAGAAAAGAAGACATTTTCGAATTCGTTTTTCTCGAAGGAAAGCTAAGATCGACTGGAGGAAGGGTTCGGTTTCAAGTAACTCGTAGTATTCTTGAACGATAGCCCATCCCGGACAAATAAATATTTACTCGAGCAACAGCCTAACGCCGACGTTCCTCAGATTCTGTGGGGTTCGAGGGACGGGGAAGATCGATGGCCGGCGATTCCCGAAACCCCGGCGAACGGAATCTTGGAAGACCGCCGAGCTCGTCGTAAAGTACACAGCCAAAATTGAATTCCAATATTTCGGACGCCCGTCGACGCGGTTTTCGCGAACCCGATGGTTTATCGAGCGTCTCGTATCGCCCGGGGGCACATCTGGTTAACTGAGTTACGATGCTTTGAATCGCTCGACGAAATCCCCGGTCGGATTATAGAAATGTTTCGGTGTCATGAATCATCGATGCGACGTAGAAAATACAGAGTACGGCGCAAAATGTAGAAAACGACCGAAACGACCGGATGTTTTCCAAGTAGAAGGGATTCTACGCGTGATTTAAAGTAAATGCATGATGTTTGACGGGACCAGAAATATACAGGGTGTTTCAGATTTCAATGAAAAGGTAAAAGAAATACATTTCTCCAGAATAATTTGAAACTTTCCATTATCGTTGAAAAATTTGTCCTCGAATTTTTTTTCTCGAAAGTACGTAGGATTTCGGGGGTATGTCTATTGACCAAAAATGATTATACTTAACCTACGCAACCGAAAATAATTTTTTTAGAATGATATGAAACTTTTCAATTTTGTCGAAAAATTTGACAACCTTCTCGAATTTTTTTCTCGAAAATGGTTAGGATTTCGGGGGTATGTCTATTCACCGAAAATGATCGTAATCCACGACTGTGACCGAAAATAATTTTTCCAGAACGATTTAAAATTTTTTAATTTTGTCGAAAAACTTCACACCTTCCCAAATTTTTTTCTCGAAAGTGGTTAGGAATTCGGGGGTATGTCTATTCACCGAAAATGATCGTAATCAACCTCTCTGAACGAAAATAATTTTTTTAGAACAATATGAAACTTTTCAATTTTGCCGAAAAATTTGACAACCTTCTCGAATTTTTTTCTCGAAAATGGTTAGGATTTCGAGGGTATATCTATTCACCGAAAATGATCAGAATCAACCTCTGTGACCGAAAATAATTTTTTTAGAAAGATATGAAACTTTTCAATTTTGCCGAAAAATTTGACAACCTTCTCGAATTTTTTTCTCGAAAATGGTTAGGATTTTGGGGGTATGTCTATTGACCAAAAATGACTACAATTGACCCTCGCAACCGAAAATAATTTTTTTAGAAAGATATGATACTTTTCTTTTTGACGAAAAATTTGACTACCTATTCGAATTTTTTTCTCGAAAATAAGTAGGATTTTGAGGGTATGTCTGTTGACCAAAAACGATTGTAATTGACGCCCGCGACTGAAAATAATTTTTTCGGAACGATTTGAAACTTTTCTTTTTGACGAAAAATTTGTCCAACTACTCGAATTTTTTTCTCGAAAATGGTTAGGATTTCGGGGGTATGTCTATTCACCGAAAATGATCGAAATCAACCTCTCTGACCGAAAATAATTTTTTTTGAAGGATTTGAAATTTTTTTTTTCGTCGAAAAATTTAGGTACCTTGGGATTAGAAAATTCTTGGA